GGACCTGGTCAGAGTCCATCAACCTGGCCAGTATTGAATTAAAATTGCTTCAAATTTGACTCAAAATTGTGGGGCTGTTTTTTGGTGTGGTTTTTTTTTTTTTTTTTTTTTTTTTTTGGTTTGTTTGTTTTTGTTTTTTTTTCTCTCTCAATAACTTCAGGACTAACAGGAGAAGGAGGGAACAGACTCCGGACAACTGTCATTTGACTTCCACATATGTACATCCACACCCAATAAAAAACTAATTGAAATAAAAAAATCATCAGTCAATATTTCTTCCTTCCTTGCTTGGTTAGGTTTTAATTCTTTCCCTTCCTGTGATGTTTCATGTGGCAAATGGGTGAGCTGTGGTTTGCAATTCCGTTTCAAACTCAGTAAACCAGACTTGGCGTGAATATTGTAGAGTTTAGTTCAGTTTCATTGTGTACTGCATCTCTGGCACAGCTGTACTGGGTTGGGCACACAGGTCTCAGCTCCCCCTGTGATGTACTCTCGAGTTGGACAGTGCTCTGTAGGACAGTGCAGGATGAGAGCTGTGACTGCAGGTTCCCACAGACCTCCAGAGCCACATTTCAGGGCCCTTGTTCTCTGTCCATGGAGACAAACAGAACCCATGGTCCTGCCTGAATCTGGGATCGCCAGTCAGAGCTCTTCCCTTGGATTATTCCATGGCACTGGTGTGTGGATTGAGAAGACTAGGAGCCCTTACTAAAGGTCCCACTGATCTCGGCAGCAACCTCCAGAGGAAGCCTACACAGTCTCCCAGTGTCTCACTTCAGCTCCTGTTCTCCTGTTCACAGAGGTGGATAGGCCACTGGTCCCACAACTCAAGGGCTTTCAGCCCCTCTTTGGGCTGTTCCACGGTGCTGGTATGTGGGGACAGGGAGGGGGAGAATAATTGTTTGCCAGTTTCTACTGGTTTCAGCCTAACCCCGCTGCTGTGTTTCAAGGCCTTTTGTTGCTGGATATCACTGCTGTCAATATAAAAACACATCTCTCACCTCAAAAGGAATGAGTAGTTCATTATGTATCCAGATGGGAGTGACCATGGCCCAAGAATATAGATTTAGATTATCCCAAATTCCATGTTCCAACAATGAAAGCAATTTCATGAACATTTTATAGTAACAAAATAAAGACAATCATAAGTCAAGACTTTTAAAATATGCTGATGTAAACACTGAGTAGGTGGTTACAGTAAAGGGGAGACATCTTAGCTGTAGGCCTTACATGCTGTGTGCTAACTCTCAGACCTTTGACTGGTGGAGAATAGGCTTTTATTAAGTTAATACAGTCTAAGTGATTTTATTTATTTGTCTGGATGTTATGTCTGACTTTATGTGCTAGTCATAGGATGTTAGGTGAGAGAGAGAGGTAGACAAAGAACAGCTCGTTAGCGTGCTAAACATAACCCAGGATAAACTGTAATTAGGCTCTGTGACTGCAACATCTCCTGCACATCACTGAAATTTAACCAGTCAGTCCGCCTTTGCAAATAGCTTCTTTCCAGGAATTTTTGTTCACATTGCAATTATGTATTCAGTCCTTGGAGGTCTGGCTAACTTCCGGCAGTGCCAGTGTATATGAGAGGAAGCACTTCCCTGTGGTCTCCAATGACGTCACCACCAGAACCATTTGTTGTACCTTAGTGCTTGCAGCTGTTCCCAGCTGTTTTGCTGTGGACACCTCCACTGCCTAGGTAAGTTCAGCTCCAGCTATCAGCTCAGCTTGAGGGCAGAGACTATTATGTTTCTCTGACTGTCACATCAAGTCACAGCCTTGAGGTTTTAATCTTCCATCTTACCCAGGAATATCAGAGAATCTGAACCCCTGTCTAGAAAGAGCATGTCATTTTAAAGTGTCCTGGTTAAGTCATCACATTTAAAAAATAAATCAAGAGTCTATTGATCAGCCAGAGAAGAAGGTAAAGTTGCTCCTGGGAAAGAAAATTGGGCTCCGGTGACATCTTGACCAGGAGCACATGGGGTAGCCCCAATAAGGTGCTTCAGAAGTGGAGATGTGAGCACAGGGGATGTGTGTCTAGCTGTCTTCAAGAGGAAAGGCAACAATAGATTTGAACTTTCAATAGCTCAGCAATTGTCTATTGTTGAGCTCCCCTCTGAGAAAATGACCAGAGAAGGATTTCTACCCAGTAAAGCTATCTGGGAGAAGCCTCAGCAAATGGACAGGGGATATCTATTTGTATTCCCATACCTATAAATGCAACCTGCTCAGTCTGTATAACACTGCTTATCTATGTGTTTTCAGGGCTGACCATTTGGTATGGGATAACCAATTGTATTCTTCCCTGGGGGAGACTATTTGTTCCTATGCTAACATGGCTGTAGTCCTCATCCCTCATCATGGATTTCCTCTTTAAGTAAGAGTCATCTTTACTGAATATCTGCTCTCTGGCCTGTGCATCCTGAAGCTGTTCTTGTATTGAGGGTAATTCTTATTCCTATTGACCGTGGACTTGATTCACTTTTGTAAGCCTATTAAGTTTATAATGTGTGTGTGTGTGTGTGTGTGTGTGTGTGTGTGTGTGTGTGTGTGTGTGTGCATGTGCCTCAGCTCCTACTCTATCCTTACTACTGTCTGACTCAGCACACATGATATTCAACCAAAACATTTTCTTCTAAGGAGGAACAAATGAAGAAATAGGGGAGGGACTACAGTAGATTCCTTTTCTTCAACTTTACTCTACCTTACAAATAAACATTGAACATCCAGGGCCTGGAAAGACTGCAGAGTGGCTAAGAATACTTGCTGTTCTTGCAGAAGATGGGTTCAATTTCCAATACTCATATGAAGGCTCAATATCACATCTCTAGTCCCAGGGGATCCGATGCCCTCCTCAGGTCTCTCTCCACAGGCACCAGGCACACATGTGGTGCACAAGTATACATGCAGGCAAATACTCATACACATAAAATAAAAATAAATTCTAAAAACATTTAACATTCTCACATTAATCACTGCTATACACCTAACAGGATGAAGGTTTAAAATCAAACAATCATTTCAACAGAAAAGCATTTAACAGAATTCAGAATTATTTCATGTTTTTTAAAAAATTAAGTGTAGAAGAAATGTACCTCAACATAACAAAAGCCAAACATGACAAGACCACAGCCAACAGCAGACACAGTAGTTCAACTGGAAGCTTCGTCCCGAGATCATGAACAAGTGTCTATCATCAGCACTTCTTGTCAATACGGTACTGGATGTCCAGCAGGAGCAGTTAGGCAGGAGGAACAGGTAGCCACAGTTCAAGGGGAGCTCTTTTGGGAGAACTTTCCAAGTCACTGTCCTGTGCTCCCACTCTATTCCTGGCTACTCCGGTAGACACAAAGTTGTGAGTCTAACCCTTAGAGATGGAGAGACTGCGCCACAGAGAAGTTAACCTGCTTTAGGTCACACAGCTACTACATGGCATGGAACCAAACCCAAGCAGTTTGCTTCCTGGCCTTGTAATCTCTATTTCTTTTTTCAGGCTCTTTGTTCTTTGTAGCTAGGAGCTACACCTTGTGTTGCTGTAGACTTGGCAGAATC